GAGGAGGAAGAGTGTGAGACACTTCAAGACAGATGTATCCTTCGAGTCAGAATATTTCCTATCGAATAAGGATTTGAAACACACCCATCACAAAAAAAAAGAAAAAGAAAAAACACGACAACGAGGGAGGAGAACGACAAGGAAACGAGAAAATAATCACCTCAAGACACAGCAGCAGGAGTGCTCACAGTTATCACTGGGGCACGACGTCCAAGATGCTGGAAGGGGGGGGGGAGGGAGAGGGACGAAGGAAATAATGAGTGTGGTGGGGTATGCCAGTTGAATTATCAAAGGAGTGAGTGGGAGGGGATGTGCGTGGAGAAGTTCTACATACGAGTATGTAAACAGCTAACAGCAGCAGCAGAAGAAGAAGAAGAAGAAGAGATCAAAGTCAAGAAGGGAAATTGTAGGATATGTATGTATGTGGTATGTAAAAGCCGGGTTCCCATACAAACACAGGAGGAATTGAGATGCCGCCGAGTCTTGCCAAAGGGAGAAGAACCGGGAGGAAGACGCAAGAAGAAGACGAACAAGCAGTTTAAAAATGTGCAAGAGAAAGATTGATTGATTGGTTGATTTGATTGATTGGTTGGTTATGGATGCGCCACTGGCTGCACGCCGTCATAGCCATCTAGAATGTAATGTAAGATGTGGCTGGCTGTACTACTAGAATGATAATTGGAGATACAATAGTAAATAAGTCCATATGGTTGGTTGTTGTACTGATGTACGACATCCGAGTAAATAAATAAATATGTTGTTTACAACTTGGAACCAAGAAGATTCACATTGTCCTGATTCCTGATTCCTGAAGATGATGACTGCTGTGACTTCAGCAATCTGCCCAGCTGGGAATGCTGTAATCCGCAACCGGGCACAGAAAGAAAGAAAGAAAGAAAAGCAAGTCGGAGGGAGGGATTATGTGTGTTGAAGAAGGGTTGACGGTCGTATGACCAATATAAGAACGGCTGGAATGTCGCTGGGAATGGATTGCCATTGAGCCTACATAGAAATGTAATCCACTGAAGATTTTTATTCAAAAAGAAGGCTCTCGATGGTTGAGGAACATGAGTCTGAAGATACATATATAACCAGAGTACTCGTCATTGAAAGCCTCCTATCTGATCCTCAACAAGGCATCTCACTCTAAAATACAAGAGTTCCTTTTTATACTTCCAGAGCAGCTCACGCTGGGAGCTCATGAAGCAAGGCCCAAGCTGGGATGAAGATCTTCTCTATGCACAACTATGTAGTGTGCTGATCCACAGAATCCATGGAAGCAGATCTCACCAATCTTGACTGAGAATAACCTGGCGAAAACACGGCCTACATACTTCCGGTGTCCGACTCGCTTGGGGGAGTTTTGGGTGATAGTCCGGGGAGGTGACGGCATCATGTGCTGCTTGCAAAAAAAAAAGATAAGAATGGATTTCGATCTGCGCCCGGCGATACATAAAAGAATGGCACCGGACTTCCAGAAGTTCATTCTAACCGGGAAACAACGTCGTCTTGAAGTCTTCACCTCTGCATCGCAATCCGAAGAAGAGAGTTTCGCATGCATAGGCTGAATCCTTTGAACTGTTTGGTCGGATGTCGACATAAGGGGCAAGGAGTTCATGATTGATGAATGTCATAAAATTGACTAGTGAGCCTATGGCTATAAGGCTCCAAAATTGAGGTGACAAAAAAAAAGAGAGTTCACTTGGACTCCTGATTCTCCGCCTGAAGCATAAAATATATCGGGCTCCTCGGCTTCGGAATGTTGATCCAGGATTCGAAGGAACACCTTCAGACTCCCAGCGCAGAAGATTGACTCGATCCCCTTTTTTTACGACACTCTTGATTAGACTTTTTCTGGTAGCTATCACACCTTCCAACAAAGGACGTACTTGCAGCTTTCAGCTGGGAGGTTCACATCAGAAGATGGTGCGTTGGAAGCCATTGATGAGCTGGATGGACTCGTCAGAGGAGATGCTATCATGTCGGCCAATCTTTAAGTCCAAGCTCCATCATCGTCCGACTAAATCGCTAGGCACCCCAATAAAAATGAATCCCTGGGCCCAACCTATCTTAAAATCTATGTATTTATCCCAAAGCAGTTGAGGAGAGTCGGAGAGTGTGATCGTCGGGTGAATGGTATGTATAAGCTGTTCGGCCTAGAATCACCACTACTGATGTTCAGAATTCAACTATTGGCAACATTACAGGGAAGGGATTGAAAATCTCTTCAGAGACAGTGGCAAGGAAGCATAACTTGTATCCCAAGGTAAAACCATGGTTGCCTAAACATAAATACATGGCATTATTTGTGTGCAAAAAGTGCAAGTATGTAGAGAATCATAAGAAGTTGGATCAGGAATGGTGGGATCAAGCAACTGCATTTTCAATCAATTCTGCTGGTTTGGAATTTGTGGACCTGTCAAATGCAGGGTTGGTTGAACCAAAAGGAAATGTTGGTGGACTCAATTGTGGAGGAATTAGAGTCCAGTTGATGAGGCATAACAACTTCATCAACCAGAAGGGATTCCTTCTGATCAATGAGGTACATCAACCTCATCAGCTGGAAGGGATTCCTTCCAGTCAATGAGGCTGGCCGGCCACAAGGATTTCCTTCTGGTCAATAAGAAACAACAACCTCATTGACCTGAAGGAAATCCTTCTGGTCATGTGGGAGCAAATCCCAAATCCCCTCAAGCATGAGGCCAGGTGGTTTGGGGAGACAACTCACAAAAAAAATATTTAGAAAAAGGGGATTACTAAAAGTACCACCCTTGTTGGCTATCCACACCCAGCTTTTTTACACCTGCTTTTCTGCTTTTAAACCCAGTCTTTCCCAGTCTTTGTGATCCATTTTTTGGGGATTGTAAATATGCTCAAAATCATCTAAAATTGACCAATCTTTAATTTGGGTATATAAAGCTTCCCCAAAAGTGAAATTTTACTTTCAATTTATTTTGTCTGTCTATGAGTTTTTGGAAATTCAAAGAACATCTAAATTCATCATTGATGTTGCCCAATTTGAGAAATTTATAAAGAACCAAATTTAATTTCATTTGGGCAGTCCCAATGTTAATGTTGCTTTTAAGTAGTAAGCAAATGGACAAGAAGTGTCTTGAACAGTGCCATCTATATGGAGAAAAAAAATGAAAAACTTGAAAATTAATAAGGAATTTTAGCTATACTTTAAGTTGTCAAATACCCATAAGGAGAAAACAAATTGGGGAAAAAATGGGTGAGAAAAATAAATAAAAATTGGAATGCTCTTTTGGGAATTTTTGACATGCCTAAAATAAATGCTAAATTTTAGATTATTTTTAGCATAATCAAAATCCTCAAAAAATGAATTAAAATGGCTAGGAAAACCCGGGTTTAGAAGCAGAAAATGTCAGCTATGTGTATGAAACTTTGGCTTAATTAATATAAAAGCCAAGTACTATCACTGTGCTGAAGGACTAGTTTGAAGACCAAGATTACTCCTAGTCACCCTCAAAGTATTAAGTGGTCCAAACTTCCCACTTAAGAGGTTCAAAGTCCACACTCCTCAGTTAATGACACTTTGAATAATCAAAGGAGCATTGTAGGAGACAATCACAGAATATGTTATTGCAGATTGTTTGGAAGCAATAATTAATATTGCAAGAAGTAGTTGGCAAGCACCTGAGCTGAAAGGCTGAAGTCAGAGGTGGTGGTCTTGCAGCAACTAATTTTTAAGGATGAGTCTGGGATAACTCTTAGCTTAATAATAATTCTAGTAAAAAGGTAGGGTTGGATTGGATTAAATGACTACTCTAAAAGTAGGTGGAGAATATTCACTGTACTCACTTAGTTGGTTGGGGGTGAATATTCTGAGGAACCAATCCTAGGCAGGAGAAGGCCTCCTTAAATATTCTAGAGGTCCCCTTGAGTCCCTTCTTAGAATATTCTAGAATCTCTCTTTGGTCTACCATGGTAGAATTATTCCCCTGATTTAATGGGAATAATTCAAGGTATTTCAAATGATGTATATTCTATGTCCCATGACATCATGATGCATATTCATAGCCAATTACATCATGTGTCTTCTTAAAATAGAATACTACTAGTAGAAAAGTGCCA